AGCCATATAGGTTTTGTAGGTCAAAACCAGCACTTTGAATTGTGCTCAGAAGTGGAGCTGACATAACAGAGGGGTGGTATGCTCTCTGTATGACGCTCCAGTGAGGAGTCCAGCTGCTGCCTGTTGGACTAGTTGAAATTTCCAACCAAGATTTGTACTTGGATGGGAGACAGCCAATAGGCACCAAGCAGAGCGGGCCCAGGTTTGAACTTAGATGGGCGGCTGCCAATGGCCAAACCCCAGGTTTTGTTTCCAAAGCCACTGAGTGACGTTAGCAAAGTCACACTCTTTCAGTTTGAGATGAAGACAAAGGCACATCCCATGTGAATAAATTTTGAGTGGAATGAGATCATGGCACCTTAGGGCTGCCCTAAGTCTGAAGCAACTTGAAGGTACACAACACCAATACTAATTACTGGACCCTTCTTCTACTTTTCACATACTATTATTACTCTTCAAGGATGGGAAGTTCCTGTTCAGATGTATTCCCAAAATGCTCTGATTTTTAAATATTTTTCAGAACCCTTTCTTAATTAAAACAACAGATTGCTAGCAATATTTTTAATAAGTCCAAACTACAGCAGAACTGCAAATCTTTGATTCAGGAAATGCTTCTTGACCATCTTTGAGGTTGAGCTCTCTCATCATGTTAAAAACAAGAAGATTCAAAATGAAACCAAAAATGGTTTGACATGAGTAATATTAATATTTCTAATTTTAAAAACATACTTTCAAACAAGTAAGTGCTGAATTCAAAAAGAAACAATGAAGAAAAGAGAAAGAAATATTAAAAATAATTATCCGGGGGGAAAAATTAAAATTCGGAGGGGCCGTCCAGTGACCGCTTACTGAACCGGATTCAAACTCCTACCATTGAGGGCTCAATCCAGACACTCAGCACTGGTGCCACCTAGGCACTTCTTGAGATTCCATCTGGAAAACAGCCTTAAGAAGCAGAAGTAACTGCTAGAATGTGAAAGAGGGAGGGGGGAACTCCTCCTGATGTCATCACGCCAGTCAGTCATGTGGGATAGAAGGCAGAACTGACTGCAAGAGGAGATGGGACCAAGACCAAGGCACCAGAAGCCTGGAAGATAGGACTCAGCCAGAGAGGGGGCGGGGCCAAGGGGCTTAGGGACTGGCCCTTCCACAGGAGAGGCCAACCAGGGAGGTCTTCTTTTCTTTTCTTCTCTTCCAGGAAAAAAAAGGGAGGGGGAAAACGGGATGACTGAAGTGTGCGAAGGAAGGAATCCAGTTAACATAAAAAGGTAGCAGGGAGAGTAAGGGGGAAGAAAAAAGAAAAAAAAGATGGGCCCCATGAGGGAAGGAGAAAAGAGAGGAAGGAGAAAATAGGTAAAGGATCTCAGGGACAAAGAGTCGGAAAAAAGGGGCAGAGTGTGGGCAGGACACGCACGAAGATTGAAAAAGAAAATAAGGAGGACGAGGTGAGATGGGACGGACAGCAGCTTATAGAAATAGAAAGGGAACGCAAGCAATACCCCACCCTTGCTCATTACCTTCCACTTTAGTCATTGCCTTTCGGTACGCCCTCCTGACCTTTCTCCCCCTTGCGTACCATTTCTTCTCTTCCTTACTTCCTTCACACCTTTTGTCTTGTACTCCCTCCACCCTTCCACCTTTCCTTTCTTCCTTCCATCCTTCTCTTCCTCTCTTTCTTCCTTCCTCCCCTTTTTTTCTCTCTCCTCCATTCCTCCTGGGGATGTTTAGTTGGGGGAAGAGACAGAACATGAGAGAACCATGTTTCAAGATTGCAAAGGGTGTCCCATTGGAAAGGAGGAGGGGGGAAACTGTCTTTGTGCTGCTCTAGACACCAGGGTGCAAGGCAGCAATGGGTTCCAATGGTAGAGAAAGAGAATTCGCTGGAAAGATTAGGAAGAACTGGAAGTGTATCATGATGCATTTCAAATCCAAAGATTGCTGGAAATACAGTATACGGAAAAAAAATGGGTAAATATGGAGAAGATAATAAATAATATTAAAGGAAAAGAAATAATATTTAGGGAATGGAAGAGGAGAGAGGAAACAGAACTTAAGGAACCCTTTAAAGGAACAGTAAAAGTGTGGAAAAAAGAAAGAAGAAGTTAAATCCAGGTAATGAGAATAAGATGGCAACTATATGGCAAATGAATTATAATAATGATGAAATGATAGGCAGAACATTGAGACTGATTGAAAGCAGAGGGAAAAGGTTAGTAGAGGATCTATATACAGAGGATGGAAACCCCGTAGAACAAAAAGAAATTCAGAATTGGATAGGGTCAGGGAATTGGATTCAAAGCTGGGCTATAAGACAGGAAATTTTTAGACGGAGGGGGAAAATTAGAGAACAGGATAGTCCATT